TTATGTGAGTGTTGGGTTGGTCAAATATAGTACATTCGTTTTTTTTTTTATTACCTAGGTTGGTGGACGATCTCACAGCCCACCTGGTGTTAAGTGGTTACTGGAGCCCATAGACATCCACAACGTAAATGCGCCACCCACCTTGATATATAAGTTCTAAGGTCTCAAGTATAGTTACAACGGCTGCCCCACCCTTCAAACCGAAACGCATTACTGCTTCACGGCAGAAATAGGAAGGGTGGTGGTACCCACCCGCGCGGACTCACGCGGTCCTACGTCCAATAATTACGCAAATTATAATTTTGCGGGTTTCATTTTTATTACACGATGTTATTCCTTCACCGTGGAAATCAATCTGTCTACACTACTACTACTACCAACAAAATGATGTACGACAAGTCTGTAACATGCGGTGACCATAGGCGGTGACGTAGCAAAACTGTCATCGCCGACACTTCACTCGCTACAACCCTAAGCATTACACTTGCGTACCTGTGCATCGTCATAGCCGTTATTTTAAAATACAATCTAAAATAAAATAATAAAACGTTCATTTTTCTACATCAATACTTGCCTCCTCTTCCTCGCCATGAACTCATATACTGCCTGTTTAAGTAAGTAAATGTCTCTTAAGAAAAACGAGACGAGTTTTGAAGGGTAGGTATGAAGTTATCTGACGGAGGGNGCATTACACTTGCGTACCTGTGCATCGTCATAGCCGTTATTTTAAAATACAATCTAAAATAAAATAATAAAACGTTCATTTTTCTACATCAATACTTGCCTCCTCTTCCTCGCCATGAACTCATATACTGCCTGTTTAAGTAAGTAAATGTCTCTTAAGAAAAACGAGACGAGTTTTGAAGGGTAGGTATGAAGTTATCTGACGGAGGGCACTCATAAATTACAGGTCTTATTAATACGAAGCTTTGGGAAGCACTGACCTACAATGTCTACTTATACATATTATTAAACATACATTTATAGCATATGTAATTTTAAGAAAATAAAAAAATGCAATATATTATTATATCACCTGAGATTATTTATGTGATAAGACATATGTGTGGTAAGACTTCAACTTGAAGTCGTCGTGGCCTAAGGGATAAGACGTCCGGTGCATTCGTGTTGAGCGATGCACCGGTGTTCGAATCCCAGGCGGGTACCAATTTTTGTAATGAAATACGTACTCAAAAAATGTTCACAATTGACTTCCATGGTGAAGGAATGACATCGTGTATTAAAAACCAAACCCGCAAAATTATAATTTGCGTAATTACTGGTGGTAGGACCTCTTGTGAGTCCGCGAGGGTACCACTGCCCTGCCGTGAAGCAGTAATGCATTTCGGTTTGAAGGGTGGGGCAGCCATTGTAACTATTATTGAGACCTTAGAACTTATCTCTCAAGGTGCCACCCACTATTTACGTCGTAGATATCACCTAGATTACAAATGCTTTATAAGCTTCAAATGGAATCGACAATTAGAAATGAGTTAAAATTTACTTTTAATATGTTTTACATAGTTACAAGTTGAACCAATAGACACACGTGTTCCTCTTGATGATCTATTAATATATCAGAATAAAAAATAGTATAAAAACTAGTAGTAAAATTGAAGTGTATTAACAATATTTAGGGATCCGCGTTCTAAGGATCTCATGTTTGTGTATAAAGAAAACTAGTTTGGTGTTGTCCAAAATCCCAATAATTAAGTATAAAAAGTGGTGAAAGAATCAGCCAGGTGTTATTGAAGCCTTGGTCGAATGGCCGTAGATAATTTTTGGGATACAAAATAAAAAAGAATCTAATTTTATTAGCTATACTATTCGATGACACGTTTAAAAAAAGATGAATATATAGCATTTTCGTTTGCATCTCTTAATTTTGACAAAAAAAATATAATCAAATGCAAACCGTTAATATTTTTTAACTGATGCTTCGTTTTATTTTATTAAATAATTCACGTAATCCGTGTTTTCAGTACCGGTTGTTTTCGGAATATCATTTTTACAGCATCAATATCAAATCTTTCGTCGTATTCTGCCTGTTTGTCGTTTTGGGCGGGGCTTTTACCAAACCTGACGTCAAGTACACCGATCGCTACGGCAACGTTAATTTAGATGGGATAGTTAGGGCAATCCCAAACTTCTACAGACTTATTTCAACTGTTTGCTCGACAAGGGAGAATGCGCACCTGATGCTAAGGAATTGAAGATTAAATTATCTACTGCTAGTTTTATTATGTACAAGGTGTCAAGAAGTTTTTAAAAACAATAAAAATGCGACAATCGTATTTAGCCCCATTTGCAAAGAATTGAAATATCACTTCGAATATGTGATACGTGCTGACATTGTATCAAGTCGGCAGCACGCAATAGGCAGATTGATAGAAAAAAATCTGTGTTTATTAAAGGTTTTTTGTTATTATATTAATTTTTGAAATTCTCTTGAATTTTTAATAGGCGACTTTTCCAAAATTTATCTTGAATCTCTGTCAATTATTTCCCAGAACACCTAAGCGAAGCAATTGAGACTGTATGCGCGAAATGTACTGAAGCCCAGAAGAAGGGAGCTCGTCGTGTTGTCATTTTACGGTAGGCAGTGGCTTGGCTCTGCCCCTGACATTACTGAAGTCCATGGGCGACGGTAACCACTCACCATCAGGTGGGCCGTATACTCGTCTGCCTACAAGGGCAATAAAAAAAACCATCTCATTGATCACGAGTGCTAATACTAGAATGAGCGGCTTGCTAAATTCTATCCTGAGAATCCATTCGACCTACACGGGAATAAGCTTTGTGAAATAAAAAAAATAAAATCTGTAGTTAATTTTAGTTTATTTTAAACTTGAATAGTGAATTAATAATTAATCTATTTTCTTCGAGGGATGATTGTGGTTGGGTGGTTGTAGATAGCATTTATTTACTGATGCCCTAGAATTGGCTTAAAATAACTGCTTCTCAGAAGTATTTGAAGATTAGAGCAAAAATAACAGATTTTGAATTTATATATAAATTTTAAATAGTAATTTTTATAAAACTCACCGACATCAAAACAAAGCATTATTCTGTCTTTAAGCTGTTAGCCGCGTTCAAGCGATTCATCAAGGCTGTATATATTTAATTTATGAAGGTTTCACTCCTTAAAGAGTTTTCTTATATTGATTAAAGAGCATCCTTATTTTTTATGTGGGATGGTAAAATATTATTATGAATGATTATCGGTACAGGTATGTTATACCCATCCTTTTTTTCCTAGCCTTTTCGGCCGCTTAGTAGGTCCAAATTATTCAGAATTTTTTATTCCTATTGTAGACAGACGAAGTAATTTACTCTTACTTGGACCGTAAGAAATTAGTAGTCACTATCGTTCAGGGAAATACGCAGTGATCGGGACACAGTCAACTGCTGCCTATGCCTTTTGTGGCTGTTTGCGTACTTTGGTATTCGTTTTTTCTAGACTAAAGGAACAACCTGATCTTCGAGTATTACCAGACCATCACCGGACTATACCTACTTCAGGTGTCAAACAGAGCGATGGAATTCATATTGAAATTATTGTAAACTCACGTCCTTACGGATTCATCAGATCCTATAACTCGTATATTAGACGCTTTCAGCTCTTACAGTAGGAGAGGGCTTAAGCACTCTGGTAAAAGTACTCGTCGAACTTGGCAAAGCATTCGACGTGCAACTCACTCGCTGAGTTTCTCGACGGATTTTCTCAGCGGTCGCGATTTCGATCCAGTAGTAAATTCATTCGCAAAGTAGCTGCTCTTGAAGTTGTCAGGTCTTCTTTGGAGGCGCTCGAGTAGCTATTATCAAATCTCACCCCTCCTGGCTGAGCCCGTGCTTGCCCATTTGTCCTGATGAAACTGGAAAGGCCTCCGGGCCAATAATAATCCTTCAATCATAAAAAAATAGTAGACTCATGCTCACGAATGATTTCCACTATGAAGGAATAATGTTATGATCGTGTAAAAATGCGTAGTGACTATACAATTGAGACATATACTTTAACCACAAGACACCTGGGATTTTCTTGTAGATGAAACCCCAAATCAAATAAACTTCCATTTCTTAAAGTACCAATCTTAATTTTGTGTGCAGAAATCTTAATAACAATTTAACATATTCAAGCTTCGATAGATAATGCATTAGTTATCCACATGCAACCACTAAGCCTGTAAAGTGCTCGGAACCTTAAAAATTATAAATTTAAAATACTTAAACCCAAGAATTATAACACACTATTTTATGTTTGTTAACACAATATTCAGGCTTCGATAACACCACAATGCACTGAGTTATCCACGCGTGTAAAATATTCGAAACAGAAAATATAAAATAAAAATAAAAACGCCGTGAAACTTTTACTTACTATATATACTACGGCTGATGGAAGCCCTAGAAAGTACTAGAAGAAAAATAATCTTTCATTATAACGTGCTAAGACAATCCTCACGAGCCCAAATTTCATAATTTTATGACTAGAGTAGAACATTCTTCAAAAGATACATTATCCATCTTCCATCATTAATTATCATGCCACCTAGTTATCTCAATATTATTGGATTGTTGGCTGATTTACGCATGCTTTTTTAATTTCTAATAAATACGACAATTAGAAATGCGTTAAAATACGCTTACAAAAATTATGACTTAGTTAAAAGTTGAATTAATATACACGTGTAACATTAGAAAATCTGTTAAAAATATTGGAATGAAAAAATCATTGACCGATTAAAACAACTCTATATGTACCCAGACAACTTTTTTTTAGTAGAAGACGTAGGTAGGTACAAAGTTTTTGTTTAAGTTCGTAAATAAAAAATAAATAAAAACGTTCAAACAAAAAACACCATAGACACGAAATTAGAAGCCATAACGCAAGAAAAAAAATGTACATAATTTTTATTGGTAAAAAAAACAAAATCGAAGTGTAATAACAATATTTACGAACTCGCGTTCCGAGAATCTTGTGTGCGTGTATGTACGCAAAACTAGTTTTGGCGTTGTCCAAAAGTGCTAAACGCTTAGTATAAAAAGTGCTCAGAGACGCAGCCATGTGTTACTAAGGTGGTGATTGAGCTATCGTACACTACTACTCTTGTGATACAAAAACAATAAAGGTACGTTTATAGTGGAACGCTTAGAAATAATTTTACGTTCATTTGAACAATAAATCTTTAACTTATTTTTAAATAGCCCCCCATAAAAGTCCTCTATAAAGTATACTATAAATTAATAATAAAACAACTGTCAATACATATAATTAAGAGCGGTCTTGATATTTTTAATCTATATATATAAAAATAAATTGCTGTTCGTTAGTCTCGCTAAAATTCGAGAACGGCTGGATCGATTTGGCTAATTTTGGTCTTGAATTATTTGTGAAAGTCCAGAGAAGGTTAAAAGGTAGATAAATATGAAAGTGCTCGGAAGTAAATAAAAATAACAATTTTGTTTTCCCTTTAATGTGTCCCCCGTCGGACGGATTCCTTTTGTTTGTTTTAAGTTTATTTTATTTAACAAAAGTTTAGGTCTTTTATTTATTGATTGAGGCACTACGACGTCTGCCGGGTCAGGTAGTCTTGAAATAATTTTAAATCACTATTTAATTAATTTAATTTATCATATCCAGTTTCTCAGAATGAAGACCGTTATTGTTTGCCTGCTTGCCTTGACGGCTGTGGCCCTCGCTCGCCCTGAACAGTACACAGACAAATACGACACTGTCGATCTGGACCAGCTCATATCTAACCGTCGGCTCCTCATTCCCTACGTACATTGCATCCTCGAAAAGGGCCAATGTACCGCAGAAGGCAAGGAACTTAAATGTGAGTATCGCTTTATGATCATTTTTATAAACGTAACTAACCTACAAGTAAAAATATCCAACTCAGTTGACGATCTTTTAATAATAAACCTTTTTAAAAAAAAGGATTTTTATCTCTTTGCTTTTTACTCTTTTATTGTTACGTCACAGAGCCTACAACTAAGTTAGCTGCTGATTTGAATACAGGTTAATAGATTTTCTGAGTTAAGTTTTTTTTTTTTTTAATTGTGTAATCTGGAAAGATGTGTTCTAAGTTTATATAATTCCAAATAATACTAGAAAATAGCAACATTACTACGAATAAACTTTTTAGTATTAATACGAAATTAATATAAAAACGGACTAATTAGAAGAATAATGAACGGTTGTTTAAGTTAATTACTTTTTTTTTGGCTATATGGATGGACGAGCTTGCAGCCCACCTGGTGTTAAATATCTACCGAAGCCCATAAACATCTACAACGTAGATGCAGCCACTCATCTTGAGATATGAGTCCTAAGGTCTCAGTATAGTTACAACGGCTACCCCAACTTTCAAACCGATACGCATTACTGCTTCACGGCACGGCATATTATTTACATTTATTGTACCCATTGTAGTTTCCCCTCTAAATTAGCGTCAGGTTATCGGCAAAAAAAAGATTTAGTGGGAGATTTAAGTTAGGAATTATTAAATATGACGATGTAGCGGTAGTAGCTGTAACCCGGTCGCATGCCTACGGCCCAACAGATATTCATATGACATCTTATTGTTTGTTTGATTTTCAACTTTTCTGTAGCAATAATGTGTCACGAAGTATATGCACGATTGCTTACGACTATTTACAAGCCTTACCAATTACCAATGTCTATACATTGGCATTATCGATGTTGTCTGTGATAACATAGGCTAAATAGGCTAATAAACTAATAGGATGAGAATAAAAATAAAAATAAAGATTAAACACTAATTAAAACTTAAAAAAAAACACTAATTAAAACTTAAAAAAAAAAACTATTAATTAATTTAATTTTATTATCCCATTCATACCGGTTAGGATATCAAGCGAAGTTATAAAATTAATGTATTGTCATCGGTCTTTGATGTGTGTGAAAATTTTCATGTTAATTGGAGATAAAGGAGTCGGTGGAAATGAGGTCCGAAAATTTCGTTACAAATAGACATATCAAGCTTACAAAGGCGTGTTAAAAAGCTTAGAATTAACAAATATGTTAGAAATATAATTTGGGTAAATTGATATATTTAGGGATAACATGTAAAAAAAGACACATGCAATATGCAGTTATGATATGAAAAAAATCACAGGTGAAGAAAAGCATAAGAAAGTCGTAATGAAGAATCTCTTCTGGATGAATTTGAGGCAAAGCTATAATTTATTGAGCTGATTTATCTTTAGTTAAATTTGTTTCAAATAAAAATAAACTTCGTTCATATCCAATTTTACATGAAATTCATGTACCTACACAATAAAAAAGTACAATTTTTAGCTAATCAATGTGTGCCATTCGTTATTGCCAATTAATTAACATGATTTGTTTTCGTTCTTTAAATTACTTTTAAATATATTTTACTTCTTTTTACTTTAGGAGGAAAGACCGTAGGGTCCATTGCTACTGGTGGTAGGACCTCTTGTGAGTCCGCGCGGGTAGGTACCACCACCCTGCCTATTTTTGCCGTGAAGCAGTAATGCGTTTCGGTTTGAAGGGTGGGGCAGCTGTTGTAACTATACTTTTCGAAATGGGCTGTCAGCTCCTTCCAAATTTCCAGTTCATTCTTGATTAAATAATCAATACTAGTTTCAGCGCCCTTTTCTTGGGCTTCAGTGCATTTCTCGCAACCAGTCTCTAGAGCTTCTTGAAGATGATCTAAACAAACAAAGTTGAATTTAGGTTTAATCCATAATAATTGATATGTGATATTATGTTAAAGGAATTCTTTTTTTGTACTTATACCAATAGAAGAAGTCAAATTACGAAATATACTAAGCGTGCTTTAAGCTTTGACTGGTGGTAGGACCTCTTGTGAGTCCGCACGGGTAGCACCACCCTGCCTATTTCACCCGTGAAGCAGTAATGCGTTTCGGTTTGTAGGGTGGGGTAGCCGTTGTAACTGTACTGAGACCTTAGAACTTATATCTCAAGGTTAGTGGCGCATTGACCTTGTAGATGTGTATGGGCTTCAGTAACCGCTTAACACCAGGTGGGCTGTGAGCTCGTATGCCTATCTAAGCATTAAAAAAAATATTAAAAAGTTTTGATAGTCCTTCATCATTTAGGTATTGTCTACAAGTTTCCACACACAACAACTTATTTTCAAAATGCTGTTTCTTTTACAGCTCACATCAAGGAAGCCCTCGAGACCAACTGCGCTAAATGCACCAAAGCGCAAAAGGGTGGAACCGAAAAGATGATTGGTCACCTCATCAACCACGAAGCCGAATTCTGGGAGGAGCTGAAGGCCAAATACGATCCCACCAACGAGTTCACAAAGAAATATGAAACTGAACTCAAACGCGTTACAGCTTAAATTCCTTTGAAAAAGGCTAACAGCTCAATATCATGTAATGAGATTTATGTATTTAGTTGATTTAATTTTCAATTCGACACACATTTTTTTTTCAAAGTGCCTACGAAAATATGTAATTGGTATTATAAATATTTTGCAAAAGGCTTGTGATGTTAGCTGTTATTATAAGTTTAAGATTAAAATAAATTATTTTCTTTCTTAATTTTTTTAAAATCTTTTAATTTAATTACTTTCCTCAAAAAAGAAAGAGTGAAAAGCTTTCAAAGAGCCTCATAGTAATAAATCCGCAAAAACAGTTGATTTATTATATTGAGACAATTTCATAATTAGTAGCTTTTTGGTTGAATCTTTTTAGATAGCTAGGAACGGAATATTCGGAAATCTTCTTATGAAATAATTTTTCATTTTTGGAACGAAGTTCCTTATCGCGCGTTGTGAAAGGGGGCTAGACGGAAAAAATTCTTACGAAAAGTTGTCACAACACTTTTTAGATCCGTCATTCTGACCAATCAACGTGTAGGCTTTTATCGCGTGACATTGCTCGTATCCGATTGGTCCGCGTAATGAGTACAGTTTCTCGAGATAGCGTTTCAACAATAGTAATTTAGTTCATAGTATTGTTTTTTTCTTCTTCATAATGCCGTAATTTATTATTATAACTTAAAAAAAAAATTACAATTCCTTCACTAATTAATCGAAAGGAACTTCGTTCCATCCGGGTGTCCCTTGACANATTGGTCCGCGTAATGAGTACAGTTTCTCGAGATAGCGTTTCAACAATAGTAATTTAGTTCATAGTATTGTTTTTTTCTTCTTCATAATGCCGTAATTTATTATTATAACTTAAAAAAAAAATTACAATTCCTTCACTAATTAATCGAAAGGAACTTCGTTCCATCCGGGTGTCCCTTGACACCTCTGAAGTTTTTTTACTACTTTTTTGTAAGTAATTATTGTTGCTAATGGTTGCTCGAGCTGTCAAACTGGCATTAATCGAGAAGGACTTTTTTTAAGCCCCGTTTGAATATATGATATCACATAGAGAAACGTGGGGAAAGAAGGTACCTCACACCAAGTTAGAATTTTATAAAAAAAAATTATTATTACAGGAAATAACAGATTTATTTTAGTAGTATAATCTAATGGTTAATATTTTACACCAACAACCTGTTTCGGAATATGGTTAAGTTTAAGTTAAACCTAAGTTTATTTGTATTTTTTTTTATTTTTCATTTCTTGGATGGGTGGACGAGCTCACAGCCCACCTGGTGTTAAGTGGGTACTGGAGCCCATAAACATCTACAACGTAAATGCGCCACCCACCTTGAGATATAAGTTCGAAGGTCTCAAGTATAGTTACAACGGCTGCCCCACCCTTCAAACTGAAACGCATTACTGCTTCACGGCAGAAATAAGCAGGGTGGTGATACCTACCCGCGCGGACTCTCAAGAGGTCCTACCACCAGTAAGTTTTTGTTATACACAACAACGTAAATGCCGCTACCCACCTTGAGATAATAATATGAGCTCTATGTCTCAGTCCTATAGTACAACTGGTGCCCCATCCTTCAAACCAGAACGCATTACTGCTTCACGACAGAAATATGGCCTATTCGTAGTCGAACTTACAAGATGTTCTAAGCCCAGTATTTACGCAAATTATAATTATTACGAGTTTGATTTTTAATAGACAATGTTACTCGTTAATCGTGAAAATCTTTCGTGTTAGGTACATACTCTTATTTATTTATTGATTTAAGAAACTGTCAAAGAACGACCATGCAGGTTAAAAAAAGCGGCAGTAAAAGTAGCGGTAGGCAGCGGCTTGGCTCTGCCCCTGGCATTGCTGAAATCCATGGGCGACGGTAACCACTCACCATCAGGTGGGCCGTATGCTCGTCTGCCTACAGGGGCAATACAATAAAAAAAAATAAAAAAAAATATATATATATATATATATTTACAAGATGACGAAACGTGGGAATGAGCGCGCTTATCGTCGATACGATAGCCCTATTTCTTATAAAACCGATCACGAACTAGGGTCTGATGCGAACCACCTATGAATCGATTGAAATTGCTCTAATGTCGCGGAGTGAGCTGCTGGATTTGTATTAAAAAATATCAAACCAGAAACCTGTAAACCAAATTTTATTTACGTAGACTTTTGTCTTTTGTGTTTTGAAGCAATCTTCTTTTTTATTAGATTATTAGACTGCCGTAAACCTCTTGCGAGTCCGCGCGGGTAGGTACCACTGCCCGGCCTATTTCTGCCGTGAAGCAGTAATGCGTTTCGGTTTGAAGGTTAGAGCAGCCGTTGTAACTATACTGAGATCTTAGAACTTATATCTCAAGGTGGGTGGCGCATTTACGTTGTAGATGTCTGTGGGCTCCAGTAACCACTTAACACCAGATGGGCTGTGAGCTCGTCCACCCATCTAAGCAAAAAAATATATAGAAATATGGAATATCAATGAGCGATACACTAAATAATTATTAAGCAAACAAATAATTATATTGAAAATGGACCAACCTATTCGGACAGTTAATACTGACTGGTGGTCATAGGCATTTTTATTTGCAGAACATGTTTACGATATCGAGCAACGTTCGTGACGTTAAGTTTTTTNGTGAGCTCGTCCACCCATCTAAGCAAAAAAATATATAGAAATATGGAATATCAATGAGCGATACACTAAATAATTATTAAGCAAACAAATAATTATATTGAAAATGGACCAACCTATTCGGACAGTTAATACTGACTGGTGGTCATAGGCATTTTTATTTGCAGAACATGTTTACGATATCGAGCAACGTTCGTGACGTTAAGTTTTTTTATTATTATTTTTATTTATATATGATTCATCCGACAGCACACAGAACCCTCGTCCGGGCGTAATTTGTTTGTATGGAAAATTTGGAAGAACCAGCTAGCTACACTTTCGACTCAGACAATTTGACATAAAAACTAATAGACAATTCATATTTTTTAACCGAATGTTTTCGTTGGTATCAGAAAATAAATGTATTAAATATCTAAAATTGGGAACTTGTTGAAAAAAGACAAATTTAGAAACGTTTTCAACTCGTTTGCTAGACTTTAATTTGTCAAATAATTTTAAAAGGTTTGCACATCATGGTTCAACTTCAACGCAGTTACGCTGTGCGCGTGCGAGGGACATGGCTATGAGTCGTCTCATTTTAAATACAACTTTATAACTTATTTTAAATTATATTTTTTTATTGCGTAAGTGGACAAACAAACGGCCCGCCTAGTTAAGTGGCTACAGGAGCCCATAGACATCAACTATGTAAATTCCACCACTTAGGTACCCTACAAAATAACCACCAACTTAATGAATTTGTTATTGAAACGTAGTCTACGTTTTTAATGAGCTTGATAGCAATTTTATGAGGACATTATCTGTATTTGGCAATAGTTGCTACTATTGAATATCATCTCCAAAGATTCCCTTAAAATAGCGTTGTATATCAATGTATCACCTTTGTACCATTACTCTTACACTCCACATATTTATTACTTTAAATGAGATCTAGTCCATAGACATAATCTACTGAGTTTCTCGCCGGATCTTCTCAGTGGGTCGCGAATCCGATGCGGTGGTAGATTCTGCGAAGCACAGCTCTCGCTAGGGTCAGTGTTAGCAAACTCAGGTTGAGCCCGTTAGCTCACCTGCCAGAGCATAGCTGGAATAGCCCCTCAAGCTACCAACGAATAAGTAGCGGAAAAAGCTTTAAATGAGCAGGCGTTTGGTTGGACCATCTGAATTTAGGTAGCTGCCCATCTTGAGATACGAAAATAAAGCCTCAATTGTGTTCTTTAGCGGCTTTCACACCCTTCAAACAGGAACGCGTGATTTCTTCGCGGCTGAAATAGGGGGGATGGTTGTAATCACCGATGTGGGTTAACTGCGCACCTTGCAATCGGTTAATTTCATCAGATAAGCTATAATGACACTTTGCTGTACGTTTATGTACTATATTTTTATAGTTTTTTTTTTTGTTTGTTTTCATGATTCGTAAACATAACTGCAAAATTACTTTTACGGGTTAATTCGGTGTTTTTCCGGCGAAGAGGAATATTGTCCTAAAGTACTGGTGGTAGGGCGTATTGTTTGCTCGCACGGGTAGGTATCACTACCCTGCCTATTTCTGCAATGGTGCAGTAATGTGTTTCGGCTTGAAAGTGGAGGTAGTGAGGAATAGTGGAGCCNTTTGTTTTCATGATTCGTAAACATAACTGCAAAATTACTTTTACGGGTTAATTCGGTGTTTTTCCGGCGAAGAGGAATATTGTCCTAAAGTACTGGTGGTAGGGCGTATTGTTTGCTCGCACGGGTAGGTATCACTACCCTGCCTATTTCTGCAATGGTGCAGTAATGTGTTTCGGCTTGAAAGTGGAGGTAGTGAGGAATAGTGGAGCCAGTCTAAAAACTTTAACTGACACTAATAAAATGCATTAAAAAAAATTTTAACCACTGTAGAAACTGAGATTTTAGTACTCATGTCCCAAGGCAAGTGGCGTTTAAGTTGTTAATGTCTGTGGGCTCCAGTGACTTAACATCAATTGGGCCGCTAACTCGCCCAGTGAGCTTAGGCAAAGAAAAGTATTAGAAACTCGGAAATCGGAAATAATATTTAATAATTATAATAAAGGCGAGATTTACCCATAAAAGTAATTTTCAAAGTAATTTTCAAAAGTAATATTCACTTGCGTTCAATTATTTCTGTCATTTCCAAAATTTTAATAATAGTACTGACAGCACAGTGTTTTTTTTTTAAATTTAAATATAATACAACCACGTATCACCTTGACCCTCACAGACAAACAATCGTAAGAGCTTCCTAAGAACCTCAAGCGAAAATCATGTTAAATATAATTAGTCATCATAAGTTTAAGAGTATTGTTTTTGCTTCAGTGCTGACTAGTATATATAGGCAATCGTATGGAGATATTTATCATAAGCATCAGTTAGCTCCTGTACAACGGTATTATCTTACACACGTAAGTACACTATGGAATTATTACGTTTATTAAAATAAAATTGAATTATTATTTTAAACCTTTAGTGTTCGAAGCTTTAACTATTAAATATTTAAAATTTACGAGTCTGTAATGTAAAATAATGTAGTGTAATAAATTTTGTAAATATTTATTTTCAATATTCGATTGAATCAAAAGTTTTCATATATTTTTTAAGTAATCGATGAAATATCATTATCAGCTAATTTTCACTGAATTTGTTTTTAAATTTACTCAGAGGTTCTTTATAAATATTCACTGAGCAAAGTACGCAAAAAAGTTATTCCAGCACATTTTTTTTAAAACTACCATCGCGTCACTCATCTTACGGATTAATCAGGATATTTAGCAAAAAATTACAGTACATTTAATGAAATGATATTTTTTGTCTATAATACTATTAAATGAAATTTTTAATATTATATTTTAATTATCTTAAACTTTACATAAGACGTTTTAATATTAAAATTCATGCGTATCCCTGAAAAGTGATGAATGTGACGACTAATTGAATCCCAGAATCATTGTAATATAAATGACCATATACGTGTACACTTTCTGAACAGACGCGGCTAAATTAAATTTAGGCTACTTACTTTCAAAATGATAAAAAAATAATTCAAAATGACTTCAATATAGCCGTTTATCGCTTGTTTTAAGCGGTGAAAACAAAAACAAAGATCTTCCGTCCGCGAGTAGCTAGAATAGCCCCTTAGGCTACCCGCGAATAGGAGAAAAAACCGAAATCCATAAAAGAAAAAGAAGAACATAAAAGGTCGTCAACTGTTAAAACTTCAAGTTTGCAGCCTTAGCTTAGGCTCTGCGTTGATCCCGGGACCTGGGCGGGCCCCCCGGTGCGCACTCTGCGTGGCCGGGGGCTCCGTCTGTGGGGGAGTTTTGCTGGACTTCCACCGTGGCGCGTCCGTAGGTGGCGGATAACGGGATCCTCTGGGCGACATTCCCAGAGGTATCGTCCGATCTTTTTCGTTGCAAGGATTCTTAGGTTTAGGTCCTAGGTATAGGGTTAGGTTTAGATGTAGATTAAGGTCCTAGGTNCAGAAATAGGCAGGGCGGTGGTACCTACCCGCGCGGACTCACAAGAGGTCCTACCACCAGTAAAAACGTATGTAGGTACGTAAAAAGCGTTCTCAATACCGATTGTATTCGAAATACCGTTTTTTCAGCATCAATATGAATTCCCTCATCGCATTCTGCCTGTTTGCCGTTTTGGCCGTGGCTCTCGCCAGACCTGACGACAAGTACACCGATCGCTACGACAACGTTGATTTAGATGAGGTCCTCAGCAATTCTCGACTTCTTCAGCCTTACATTAAATGTATCCTCGACACGGACAGGTGTGCCCCTGACGCTAAGGAGTTGAAGGGTAAGTTGTGATCGCGCAGAACTGATTTTAATTATTTACATTTAGGTACACGATGCTAATCATTATAAAACAAAATAAGTAAAGTTACAAAAAAATAATCTATAAAGTTATTTCTTATTTTGAAGTTATTCTTCCAATATATCTTAATAGTACCTAAAATAGGAGCTAGCGAAGTTGTACACGTATATAAAATAAAATAAAAAACCTTACATTGCATTATTATAATAAAAAAAAAAATTATTATTACTTTGCGCTGAATTTTCACATAACTTCTTCAAATTTTATTGGAATAACCTAAGTTGCATTTATAATACTGATAAAGCTAAGTAGCTAAGCTTAAGTAGTTTTTGCAAATAATAAAACTGCGACATTCGTAGCTAAGCTTTTCAACAAAGGTTTTTTCTAATTCATTTATTGAAATTATCTTCATTTTACAATAGATAATTGTCACCAGTTAGATAAGAAGTTATTTAGAAACTAGTTAGAAGATTTCACCAATTAGAAGATTTCAAAAGGGTTTCTGTTTTTCTTCAATCTCTTTCAATCTGCAATACTTTCACAGAACACATCAGGGAGGCACTCGAGACCGAATGCGCGAAATGTACCGAAGCCCAGAAGAAGGGTACTCGACGTGTTATCGGCCATCTAATTAATAACGAAAGCGAATCCTGGAATGAGCTGACCGCTAAATACGACCCCGAAAATAAATTTACAGCCAAATACGAAAAGGAGCTTCGTGAAATCAAAGCTTAAGACACAAATGCTAAACTAAGCTATGAAATGTGCTAAACAATGAAATGTGATATTTTTCAAATATTAATAATGAATAAATAATTAATACAACTTCTTATTTTTCCTTTTCAATGACTAGGGTCAGAGTAACTCTTTACTAATAATAATAACTTGCAATAATCATTGATGTCACAAAGCATTTGCGCCGTATTCAACATTAAAATTTCAACACTCACTTCGAAGATCGACGCATATATGTTTTGTTTGTAAAAATCGAAACATATACTCGTAAAAAGAAAAGGAATACGGTAATATTTTCCTTCACATCATGTCAATATTAAAAAATTAAATTATACGCTTTTAGAATATTTTTACTCTATTAATGTTACTGCAAGCAGCATGTACAATATAAGATAAGACAGATAAAGCCAGACATCCCCATAAATCCCAAATAGCTTAACAAAGACTACAGGTAATCCAATCCAGTTTCTGCAGGATAGCCGTCGGAGCACCGTAGTATGTGAAGATGTAGATTTTCACGATGATCTGCAATTAGAATCGATATGTAAGTAACTGAAGGGAGCGTCAGAGCGCTTCATCAAGAAAGCGGCATGACGATGACCCTCTTATCGCGGCCGCCTCTAATTACATATCCGACCCAGGCGTCGCGTCAGGGCAACATAAAGCTGTCGCCGCCCACAACAAGTCTTGTCGGATTCTCAGGAACCAGTCTAGGTACTTTTAGGCTCTACAAGCTTCGATCACTGTTCTTTTAGCCTATAAGCCATGTACAACTTAGCCTATTGATACAACACACTCAGCTTCTCGCCGGATCTTCTCAATGGGCCACGATTTCAATATGGCGATAAATTCAACGAAGCACCGCTCTTGCTATGGTTAGCATTAACAAGTTCTCTCAGGTTGAATTCCGTAAGGATAAATACCAAACCGCGAGTAGTTGGAATAGCTATTTACGCTATCAGCGTAGATAGAAAAAAAAAACAATATAGTACGTCACACAAACAATTTCATAACGATTAACTAAACCGGTTTTCAGTGGACGTTTCTTTTGTGTAAATTTTGAGCCAAACCCTTTTTCAAATATACAAATTTAAGAATTCGAGGAAACCTTTGCCGGATGTGTATATTATAACCAATTTAAAGTTGACCTTTTTAAGTAAGTATTAAGTATTAAAGTTGTAGCAAGTATTAAAGCAAAGTATTAAAGTTGAGTTGGGCAAGAAAATACACTAAAACATCTATTGTTTTCTCACACCTATAACAAGTTTTTTTTTTTAACTCAAATAAAATTTTATTTTTACTACTAATCTCAAATGAACAACAAACTATACAACAACAACTACAAAATATAACAATAAACATTTTTTCAAATTAATTACCGCTCAGTGAATTAAACTTAATTAAAAAAAAACCAATTAGCTAATATTTTCATAGATGCCTCGTGAAACTGGTTTAAAATTCAACGAAACAAAAAAGCAATAGTAAACTCGTTTTGAAACGACTCTAAGTAAATGATCAACAGGCCTCGGCTTTAAATAAAAAAAACGATAATTTTAGATTTCTTTCGATCTCGTTCGCCGTGAAGTGAGCATTCAAGAAAAAAGAACGATCTAACTAAGCATAAAAAATTTTTTAAATTCAATTAAGAAAAAGACATACTTAATTTAAATTATTAAGGTTCAGAATGAAGTCTGTTATTATTTTACTATGTTTTTTGGGTGTCGCGACGGTAGTTATTGCTCGTCCAAAAACACCTTTTGACAACATCAATATTGAGGAAATTTTTGAAAATCGACGTTTATTGTTAGGCTACATTAACTGTATTCTCGAGCGGGGAAACTGCACTCGTGCCGGAAAAGACCTTAAATGTAAGTAAATAAGTTACTTCAAAATATAAGAAATAAATAATTTTGAAATGAATTTTAATTATCATAAAACTTTAAATAAAATCTACGCACTGAAACTTATTTATGTGCAACAAACTTTATTTATTTCAATAAATATTATTTTTGTGTTGCATTGAAGTAAACCGAAATGTAATGAAAATTTTACTATGATTATAACTCTCAGAGCTTGGGCATAACGTGTGTTCGAAATTCGACCTAATTTGAACAAATTTTTCGGTCATGTTAATATTAATTATCTTCTTGATGTTTTCATGGAGGACTCCTGCTACTCAACACCAGACGAAAAGTCGATTGCCAATCAAGGCGATCGATACTGTCGATCAAGGCAGTAAATAATGAACACTCGATATTTCTGACGATTACATTTTCATTAGAATACTAGCTGACCCGGCAGACTTCGTAGTGCCTCAATCGATAAATAAAAGACCTAAAGTTTTGTACACATGAGAGGAAAAACAAAATTGTTATTCTTATTTAATTCCGAGCATTTTCATATTTATCTACCTTTTAAACCTTCTCTGGACTTCCACAAATAAATAAAGACCAAAATTAGCCAAATCGGTCCAGCCGTTCTCGAGTTTTAGCGAGACTAACGAACAGCAATTCATTTTTTATATACATAGATTAATAGTATTATAAATAAAATAAAATAAAACCGTAAAGGGTATTTAAGTTTCCTATGTTTATATAGATTATTTCATTATTACAGCTAGTTTAAAAAACGTATTAGAAGAAAACTGTGACAAATGCAGCGAAGACCAACGGAAGAGTATCATCAAAGTCATTAATTATTTGGTGAGCAGCGAACCGGAAAGCTGGAACCAACTCAAATCGAAGTACGACCCTGAAGGGAAATATTTAATCAAGTACGAAGCTAAAATGGAATCTAACTAACAAGAAAACGTTTCTTTTTGTGAACAAAATAGTAGAAAGCTTTAGTTTTTAATGAATGCGCTGTTTTAGAGTATTTTAACAAGTAATAAATCTTATACCTTTAAATGAGCAATTCTTGTATATATATAATCTGAATCTCGGAAACGGTTCCGACGATTTTCATAAAATTTAGTATAAAGGGGATTTCGGGGGCGATAAATCGATCTAGCTACGATTTATTTTCAGAAAATTTTGTTTTATTAGTGTTTTCAATAATCAACTCTTCCCGACATCTATTGGCGATTAATAATAGTATTTTTCTTAATTGAGGGCAACTAACCGCTTTAAAGACACAACAATATAATATGGCGTTGTCAAAAAAAACCGAGGTAAGCTCGGTCATCATCTAGTAACTAATAAATTAAACTAAAATTAAAAAGTCTAATTACAGGAAGCTATACTTAATAGCATCGGGATTACAGATTTCTAATCGACTACCGATTTTAGTATATGCATTTTTTTTTCCTTTTGAAGGGTGGACAAGTTTTATTTATTACAACATTGAGATAAATTTGCGTAACTTAAGATAAAGTCTAAATTCAATTCAATTATTGAAGGAGCTAAATGAATATAACCGATATAACCATATAACCGAACACGATTATAAATAACGGATAATTAAACAATTTTATTTCAATGTCGCTCTATAAATTTGCATCGCTGTGTTAATTCAATTTCCGCTAACGTTTCAATGACTACAACTCCTTAGTAAATATTCATTGAATACTTGGAACTCGCTCTTTTGATTCGTACACAAGTGTTTTGTTCGTTACGAAGATAAAGTCACGCAGAAGAATAGCAATATAACAGACACAGTTCTCTTGTTACGATAAAATAATATATATTTGGAAATAAAAAACTTTCGCTCACTACATGATTTTGCCTGGTTGAAAACATAAGGCACATGCTATTGTTTTTTAAGTTTACTTACCTGTATATAAATAATAGAAAACTGTCTAAGTTAAGTACAACTAAATGTAATAAAAAATAAATATAACATTGTTGTCTCGCTTTTTTCGGACTCAGTGTCTCTGATATTCAAGTTTCAATCTAATGTGTATCGAACTGATGTTATAAGAAAAAATGTAGTTCTATTTAAAATATGTATTTCCATTTAATTTAAAGTCCATTTACTGGTGATAGGACCTCTTGTGAGTCCGCACGGGTAGATACCACGCCCCTGCCTATTTCTGCCATGACGCAGAAATGCGTTTCGGTTTGAAGGGTGGGGCAGCCTTTGTAACTATACTTAGACCCTAGAAATCATGTTTCAAGGTGGGTAGCAACATTTACGTTGTAGATGTCTATGGGCTCCGATATTTTCCTCTTTAAATTAAATTAAGAGTGTTAGAATTCAAAGCTATTCCGAACTCAAATATTCTATGTACTTTATAAGTTATACTAGGTACCTATATTCTTACTATAGACATTTAGACTTTAAATTCTCAAGTTTAATGGCGGCATCCGCATAGTGATATTATATTTTTATTTTTGTTTTTAGAAATTAATTCAGAATCCTATCCTGTTTTTTATTACAACAACCAAAATAGCTATAAAAAAACTAAACAAAAAAACCCATTAGTTGATGTTAATTGTCAAGTGCGTATTTCCTCCCTCGTAAAAGTAAGGTCTTTACTAACGGAAAAATACAACGAAACAAAAACCGCGTTGCTAATATTAAAAGTTAAGTTCAATAGCACTATTAAAGGTTTAAAATATTTTTGATACCGCATGATTAGCTATTACGTTTAAGCGCTCGTTTTTTTGGTGATTAAAGTACTCTTGAAAACAGGTTTAGTAATTTAGTGGATATTTTATTAGGTAGTGTCTAAACGATGAGCACACCTAATGGTCAGTGCCAAAATGTCTGAGATTAGACGACTATCCCGACAAGGCCCTGAAACTGCGATACTTTAAGACAAATATTTTTTCTGTATGGAAACTAGTGACATCTTGTAGCGGATGCCCTTAAACTTGTATGTTGTTAAAGTTAAGGTATTAAATTATTGTATTACTAAACACAGAAAAAAAATATCATACATGCCTTTATTTGTTATAGTCAAATTGATTAAATTTTGTCAATTTGAGGTTTCTGAAAATTTACAAAATCTTTCATTAGAAATAAAATATAGGATAGTTAATATGTTAATGCCAACTACGGGAGCAATGAGAAAATAATCGAAGCGAAGACATCTAGTGGTCGACGCCCGTAAACATTTTTATTGAGTGCTTGAGTTGCTTATCTATAAGTAATTTATGTGTATTATCCCAAAACCTAGTTTTAAGAAGGACATGTCATAGCGTTCGGAAAGCACCCAGTAGGAATTCTTGCTATGGCCGGTTGTTACATACAAACAAAATCTTTGGAAACGTATTGTGGATGAACGCAGAAATTCCAACTCCGCTAGCATACTCCTTAAATTCTATAAAAACTAGAATCTAAGACAGGGCTTATGACAGAACAAGACAAAATATTTGAAAAAAAAAACCAAGGCAATAGTTCAACCCAAATGATGGAATTCGAAAGAAAAAAAAACACAGTTAAGTGGATTTTCGAATTTAAAAACTGATTTCCTTACAATACAGTGTACGTACTCAAGATTATTTTAGTTTTTTCTTTGTACAAAGAAACGTTACGTCAAGAAGTAGGTAATTTTCAATAGAATGTTGAATTATTTATTTGAATGTCGAAGAGTTAGTGGTATATAACCATAACAACAATAGTATTCGAAACGTTTGAATTAATATAATGACAACAAAATGCGGGATCAAACCATAAAACTAGTTTTAATTGTGTCTAGGACAAGCGAAAATACTATTATTTAACGATGCACGACCACAATCACTCCGCTAATTTATAATCACTCACTATTTAACAATTACTAGTGAAATAAAAAAATCCTCGTATAAAATAGCCTTTTGTGTATTTAGCACTAGTGACATGTTTGTCGTGTGTAATTTGTAATATTAATGAATTACAATTAAAAATGGAAAAACAAATATAATCATATGTGATGAAAAAGTTTCAATGTCTATTTTGTATTGTAATTAACGTAATAACAACAAAGAAGCAATTAAATTGAAAAATCTAAGAACGCAAAGACTTGCACGCGTTTTGATTAATTGATTTCACGTAATGTTTTTGCTATAGTTAGTTGTTTGCTTTGCTCTTCATTAACTTAATTATAATGTGGAACGATTTACGCTGGCAAGTATAGAACGATTTAAAATTTTAATATGTTTAAAGCCATCGCCCAAATTGAAGCGTTGAGTCCAATAGTTTGATAACACCATAGTCACTTCCATCGAGCCTTAATAGAATATTAACACTCATATCTAAAAGTTGATGGCGTCATTCAGATGGTAATAAATGCGGGTCATAATATACATAAACTCTAACATATAAACTCTTTCCAGGTTATCCAGTCCCGTTACAGCAGAATAGCCGTCGGAGCGCCGTGGTACGTGAGGAATGTCGACCTTCACGACGATCTAAATGTAGAACCGATAAGTAAGTATTTTAATGTAGCGTCAGATCGCTACTTCGACAAAGCGGCGCGACACGACAGCCCTTTTATCGTGGCCACCGCAAATTACGTATTGAACCCAGGCGACGGGGAAAGTTAAAGCCGCTGTCACCCGAAACATGCTTGTCGGATCTCCTAGGATGCTTTTAGGCCTTTCAAGCACCGGTCGCCGTCCACGTCGAGCTCTTCGACTACGACGAAGAGTTCGACAAGCAAACTAACCCAACAGACATAGCCCACTGAGTTTCTTGCGATTATGCGAAATGCTGCTTTTGCAAGGGATGCTGTTAGCAAATTCTCTCAGGTTGAACGTGTGAGCTCACATACACCGCTCGCGCGTAGCTTAAACCACGGAATAAATAAATAAATAAATATCTATCTATTCCGTGGCTTAAACAGCCCCTTAGGCTACCAGCGAATAGGTAAGAAAAAAAACACTCTGAGAGTTGTTGAATGAAGTGTTGAATAAAAGCAGATTTATTTTTAAAGATTCAATATCAATTTGATTGAACTTCTTTCCTGTCGCTAAATGCATTTTAAAGAACTATCGTTAGAAATTATAACATATCTATTAATAAATTTTAGTATGATAATAATAGAAAAATACACTTTTTCCATTTTTTGTCTTCTAGTTTTTTTTGGATTATTTTTCTGTCTAGGCAAACACATGCGTCACGTCTTAAGTATGTACATGTATGACGCACAGAGTTGGCTAATGTCATTCATGTAAATAATTTAGCAACTCGTTTATTTAATTATCAACAAAGTTGAAAACGAGCTTGCCGCCTGCTTTCCATCCGTTGGAACGCAGAAGCACCTCAACCCACTTCGATAAAGCGGTACGACATGAGAACCCTCTCATCGTGGCCGCCGGTAACTACATACCCGATCCTGCGACAGAATGGAAAGCAGTCAACGTCGCCCCAAACACGTCAAATTGGATCCTCCCGATCCACTGACGGTGCTAGGTACCTCAAGCACCGGTTATCGTTCTCGTCGAGCTCGTCGCTTGCCCTCAGAAACAGCCCACTGAGTTTCTCACCGGATCTTCCCAATAGGTCGCGTTTCCGATCCGGTGGTAGATTCTGCGAAGCACGGCTCTTGCTAGGGTTCGTGTTAGCAACGTCGTCAGGTTTAAGCCCCGTGAGCTCACCTACTAGTTAAGGTTACGCTGAAATAGCTTCTTAAGGCTCTCAGCTATATAGGAAAAAAAAGCACCTCAACATGTGCGGATTATCGTTTAATTTTAAAAGTAATAAAAACCAATTCAGAATTTTCTTTTTCTTTTTTAATAATTAAATACAGATTTTAAAACGTTTACTTAAAGAAACAAACGGTAAAATCAACAAAAATTAAATATGGTTCGAATTTACAGACCAAAAGCCATTTATGATTACAAAAATAAAACAATTATTCTGTTGTACCACCGCAAGCATTTATAACAAGTTTAGTTTTGACCAGCGAGGAATCCCTCGTAGATTTCTTTGAATTCATCTTTGGGATCGTATTTGGCCTTCATCTGCTCCCAGTAATCAGCTTCGTGCTGCTTAATGTGTTTAACGATCTTTCTGGCTGACACCTTCTGTTTATCTGTACACTTCGCACACGCTGTCTGCATTCCGTCTTTGATATGAGCTGTAATCGAATAGAATTGACATGTTAATTTGTATCGGGAATTCGTGTAAAGTCCTACTACTTACTGGTGGCAGGACCTCTTGAGAGTCCGCGCGGGTAGGTACCACCACCCTGCCTATTTCTGCCGTGAAGCAGTAATGCGTTTCGGTTTGAAGGGTGGGGCAGCCGTTGTAACTATACTTGAGACCTTAGAACTTATATCTCAAGATGGGTGGCGCATTTACGTGGTAGATGTCTATGGGCTTCACTAACCACTCAACACCAGGTGGGCTGTGAGATCGTCCACTCATCTAAGCATAAAAAAAAAAACTACACGACGCTATTGATTGAATTCGTTGGAGCGATATTTATCTTCTTCTTTTTCTGAGATCTTCAAATAGAAATCAATCTGCTTTACAGCGGAAAGATCTGTCTCTGTCAAGTACAATTGAAACTACGATCTCGCATTTCAAGGTGAGAGGTGGCATCCACGCTTTGTTATTTAGTTTATTAATTGTGGTAGGGCGTTTTACGGGCCGAAGAGTAGGCACTACCCCTCTCCCTTTTTTTGCGGTGAAACAGTACATAGTGCGTTCAGTTTGAAGAGTGCAGGAGCCGTGGTATTGTAAAACTGAGACCTTAGAACCCATGTCTCAAGATGGGCTTAGATTGTTGAAGTCTGTGGCTTTCGATAACCACTTAATACCGGGTACCTCGAGCCCTTTGATGTTCCTTGACTCAGTGATGTGAAACGTTGTTCAATTTAAAATTACCTTTAAGTTCCTTCCCATCGGCAGTGCAGCGGCCTTCGTCCAATACACATTTTATATAAGGAACAAGTAGCTTTCGGTTCTCAAGAATTTCATCAACATCTATGTTGTCATACTTGTCGGTGTACTTCTCGGCAACCGATAAGCCAGCCACGAATAAAAGTGCAGCAATTGTTAGACACTTCATGCTGAAAGAAGATTTACAAACATTTTTAAAACAACTCACATATACTCTGTTTACTGTATTCTTTTAAATCTAATATTCCGAAACTGCAATACTAAAGGATTTATTTTCTTTTAATAGTGATGTCACATCCACTGAGAAGATATAATTTTTTATTTAATTTATTACTACAATGCATTTGTGATAAGCAGGTGGTGGAGTAGGGCAATGCAATGAAAGGCGCACTGCTTTATTTCGAAAAACATTAAAAACAAACATAAAAAGCACACGTTATATCTATAATATAAAACGCCTTACATACTGTAATATCATAAAATAATATACAATTTACAAATACATATATACATATTATTATACCCGCTTATACCTAACATATTACAAATCAATCATAAAAAAAAAACATTTACACAATTTTCCTATCCTGAGTATCGAGCAATGAAATTGTACCAAGATTACTCACAGTATGCAGCCTAATAGGTGCAGTCAGGTGCACTATATATATGTATAGTAAAAAAATTATCGGGAATGAATGATCTATTAATGTTTTCTAACTAACAAAAGTTTTTTTTTTGTTTTTAGATTGGCACAACTAGCAAAAAATGGAAAACATTTTGGCACAAAGTTACAGTTGCATCTGTTATTTAAATTAAATACAGTGCTATTTTATTTAGATAGAGAATTTTCTAATGAACAAAAATATCTAACACTAGCGACCCGCCCTCGCTTCGCTTCGGAAACATTAAAACACACATGAAACCAAAAAAATAAAATAAAAAAAATATTAAAAAAAGTAGCCTATGTTCATCAGGGACAATGTCGGCTTCTAATGGAAAAAGAATTTTTCAAATCGGTCCAGTACTTTCGGAGCCTATTCGAAACAAACAAACAAACAAATCTTTCCTCTTTATAATATTAGTATAGATTGTGTTTGTCTTAAATTTTAATCGAATTTCTTGTCCAGAGTCTGAAAATGTTACAGAAAGCTTACGGTGAATCGAATTTATAAAAAAAAAAACGTGCTTATGAGTGGTACAACTATCAACGTCTGAAACTGAACCTAACATCGACAACCGAAAAAACCATGCCAAATCGATCGAAAGTCAATTGTTGACTGTTTTCTTTGCCTATCGCGGAGAAGAAAGATTGCTTATAAGCATGTTGATAAGCTATCCTAACTAATCATGTTGATAGCCTGTCACACATAATGTGAGATAAGGGCTAGAAGAAGAAATGAATCGGTAGGGGACGTATTGACACACTTGTTCTTAGGTGGTAACCGATGACCCAAAAATATTGCGTACGCAATAATAGCGATAGCCTTCAAAACGGTATCTGACTAGACCACAAATATTTTCTCGGACAATTAACCTGCCCTGCTGGTACTACAACAGTCTCAGCGTTACTTCAGATCTAAATTTTGAATGTCATCAGACTTTACCAAAGGGAATTTGCGTATAAAACGATAAAGTCATAGTAGCTTCTGAGCCAATAACGGAGTAGTTGAGCTTGTAATAAAAGTTTCCAACTTTTCGATCATGTCGCTTATGTTTGACTACAGAAATCAATTGGAAGGCCTACTAAATTATAGCAAAACTTGGTCTGGGTATAGCTTTACTTTTGCAGGGTCGAGGATACTCGTGGATTTCCAAGAGGACGTGGGAACTATGAAGAGCAGCTGTCAAGGCTTTAATAAACAAGGAATCTACATGACCACGACTGCTCTGCCAAGAGCAACCGACTATGATGATGTGGGGTGGCTAGAATGAATATACTATTTACGTTTGCGACCTGTCGGAGAAGGATCGAGAATTGTCAACCTATCAAGATTCAAGATCTTCACCCATCTTTGTGAAATGTAAGACTACACACATATGTGTGTTTATTTTGTAATAATGTCTGTCCTACACTTCAGAGCGTAAAGCATGACTACCCTTCTCAAAAATAGGTAATATATTATATAATATTCTATTATATTAGTGGTACTTAATGTTTTTTCATTAAACTATTTTCGAAAAAGATATCTTTCCACACTTTATTTACTAATTTTCAGAAAGCACTTACTCTGCAATGGTTTTAATCAACACAAAAGCGATGTCACCCAGACACTTGACTCAGATTCAGTGTGACTTGCCAGCCTGAGCTCAAGGAACACTGAGGGTTACACAACAAAATGTTCTTTTATACCATTATAATTTTTATTGTTTTTACAATGTCTCCATCATTATTGAAGATGTTACGTAACGATTAATCTCCGACCTGAAGGTATAATTGCCAAGTGTCTTTGTTGTTGCTAATTAACATACATTATAACTTGTCTTTGTATTAAACACTAGTAATAATATACTGGATTTATTAAAAATGCTTTGTTTTTAATAATTAAAAATCCAAATTAATTCGTTTTATGAAAAAGGGTAAAAATAATTAATGAGAAATTGAATATAATTGCCACTTTTGGTTTTTTTTTTCCAAAATGAGCAGAAGAAACCAGAAGGTTTAACAATGCATCGTTTAGATGAACAGATATTACATTTTAACATATAATATTTTGGAGTTCCTGTGTGTTTTAAACTCATCAATGGCTAAATTTTGAGCTTACTGCTTAAGTTCTGGACTTGAATGGGCTAAACATCAAAATCAACGGTCTGTACATAACTCACCTTCGGCTTGCCTACGATATAGTGATTTTACCGAGCTTCTGTCCGAATGGGCCGTACATATAGTGCGAAATCGAATCGGGAATGAGGAGGTTGGCCGAAGAACCAAGGTAACTGACATAGCCCGAAGGATTGCAAGAGCTCCACCGGATAAGATCGTTCTAAGCAGTGATATCGAGGCGCTGCTCGGCATGGGAAGCTCTGTCATTCTGGAGGGCGACCTAAATTCTAAACACATCAGGTGGAACTCGCACACCACAACCCTTAATGGCAGGTGCCTTGATGCGTTAGTCGATAATCTCGCCTTCGATATCGTCGCTCCGCTGACCCCGACTCACTATCCGCTAAATATCGCGCATCGCCCGGGTATACTCGACATAGCGTTATTAAAAAAACATAGCTCTGCGCTAACCCTCGATTGAAGTAGTTTCAGAGTTTATTTATTATTTATTTATTGCTTAGATGGGTGGATGAGCTCACAGCCCACCTGGTGTTAAGTGGTCACTGGAGCCCATAGACATCTACAACGTAAATGCGCCATCCACCTTGAGATCTAAGTTCTAAGGTCTCAGTATAGTTACAACGGCTGCCCCACCCTTCAAGCCGAAACGCATTACTGCTTCACAGCAGAAATAGGCAGGGTGGTGGTCTTATTATACTACCGCTTAGCTCGTACACTTTAATCGGATACGATAGTAACTATGCCCCCCCCCCCTCGTAGGCCCCTCAGGCTGACTCGCGGCGTTTGATGATGACGAAATAGCAGAGCTGCTGGCCGATACATTGCAAACCCAGTGCACGCTCAACATTCAATCCGCGGACCCTGTTCATGTAGAATTAGTAGACAATGAGATAGAACGCAGAGATTCCTTGCCACCCTCGGTTGCGTTACCATCCGCCACCCTAATGGAAGTTAAAGACCTGATCAAAAACCTACGTCCTCGCAAGGTTCCCGGTTCCAACGGTATATCTAACCGCGTTATTAAGCTTCTACCCGTCCAACTCATCGTGATATTGGCATCTATTTTCAATGCCGCTATGGCTAACTACTTATATCTTGCCCGCGGTGTGGAAAGAAACGGACGTTATCGGCATACAAAAACCCGGTAAACTAAAACATAATGCGACGAGTTACCGCCCAATTAGCCTCCTCATGTCTCTAGGCAAACTGTATAAGCGTCTGTTCTACAAACGCCTCAGAGACTTCGTCTCATCCAAGGGCATTCTCATCGATCAACAATTCGGATTCCGTGCAAATCATTCATGCATACAACAGGTGCACGGCCTCACGGAACACATTCTCGTGGGGCTTAACTGACCAAAACCGTTATACATGGGAGCTCTCTTCTTCGACGTCGCAAAAGCGTTCGACAAAGTCTGGCACAACGGTTTGATTTTCAAACTTTTCAGCATAGGTGTACCGGACAGTCTCGTGCTCATCTTATGAGACTTCTTGCCGAACCGCTCTTCTCGATATCGAGTAGAAAGAAACCCGCTCCTCCCCGCGACCACTCACGGTTGGAGTCCTGCAAGTCTCCGTTCTCTCTCCCTTTGTATTTAGTTTGTTTATTAACGATATTCCCCGGTCGCCGTCGACTCAGCTAGCCTTATTCGCTGACGACACAACCGCCTACTACTCAAGTAGAAACAAGTCCCTAATAGCGAGTAAACTCCAAAGCGCAGCGTTAACCCTCGGACAGTGGTTCCGAAAATGGCGCATAGACATCAACCCAGCGAAAAGCACAGCAGTGTTATTTCAAAGGGGAAACTCACCGCTTATTTCCTCCCGCATTAGGAGGAGAAATATCACATCCCCGATCACCTTCTTCGGCCAACCTATACCCTGGGCCAGGAAGGTCAAATACCTGGGAATCACCCTGGATGCATCCATGACATTCCACCCGCATATAAAAACAGTCTGCGACCGTGCCGCATTTATTCTCGGCAGACTTTACCCCATATGTAAACGGAGTAAAATGTCCCTTCGGAACAAGGTGACACTTTACAAAACTTGCATAAGGCCCGTCATGACTTACGCGAGTGTGGTGTTCGTACACACATAGACACCCTCCAATCCCTACAATCCCGCTTTTGCAGGTTAGCCGTCGGGGCTCCGTGGTTCGTGAGGAACGTTGATCTACACGACGACCTGGGCCTCGAATCAATCCGGAAATACATGAAGTCAGTGTCAGAACGGTACTTCCATAAGGCTATGCCTCATGATAAATGCCTTATGGTTGCCGCCGCTAACTACTCCCCGAACCCTGATCATGCAGGAGCCAGTCACCATCGACGCCTTAGACACATTCTTACGGATCCATAAAATCCAATAACCTTTGCATTAGACGTC